AAATATTAAGAATTTTTTGCTTGGATGAAAAAAATGAAAGGACGGAAGAAGAATTTGAAAAATGTATAAAGTAAATCTTTAATTAGCTTTGTTATTCTTTGCATCTAAAAGCTGAGCATATCCCTAATTTCCCTCTAACAATCATGGTTTTTGGCCTAGGTTTCTGTTCTTATTTGCTCTGCCTTACCTGTGGGGATTCGGGGAAACCAAAAGAGTCCTAGCCCTACAATCAATAAAACTCTTCAAGTTGTTAATACAAAAAAAAAAGTAATTATTATAAAATATTATCTTTTAAAAATAATCAAAACCCGAATACATAAGTGGCCTCAATAGTTAAAGGGAGTGTGTTATCTCTTGAAGTTCTGGGTTCGAGTAGCTATGTCTGCAGGAAATACTACGTTGTTAACGATTAAAAATATTAAGAACAAACAGTTTTATAATCACTCCAAACTATTAAAAAATAACATCTACCACTTATTATTTTCTCTCTAAGCCCCAAAGGCCACAGTTTCTTTTTTCCTTTTCATTTTGTTTGATAGGCATAGACATCACGATGTTAGTCGTTGACCACTTGTATTCCTTATGTATCATTTACTTTCTTATCAATTTTACTTTTTCTTTATTTTTTAGTTTCTAATAATCAGGTCTCTATGGCACGTTTTCGATTGTCTGACTGTTTTTTTATGATTGGATTTGACATCGCCTTGACTGTCAAGATGACGCTTATTTGTTCCTATTGATCTTTTCTACTTTGGACCATCGAATTGGATACACAGTCTGTGTTTTTAGATAGTTTTCTTACCACACTGATTCTAATTTGTGGTTGTTGTGATCTCCAATAGTTTAATCTCCTGTGTTTTATTTTGATGTTTCATATTTTTGTTCAAGTTTTTTTAGATGGATTTTGACATTTTCTTTACAGTTCTTATATGATCTTGAGTTACCAGTTTATTATGCTAATAATTATAGGAAAAATTCTAATTATATGTTTAGTTTACTAACTTTATTATTTTTATATATATATATATATATATATATATATTAAAAACTAGCTGCTATGTATAAAAAAATAAGGAGTTGAACTTTGAATCACAATGTTAATACTTTGGATTTTAAAGTTTGAAGTTATAAAAATATCAATTGATTTTAACTCTTTGATAAAGGTTTTGTCGCCAATAATTCAAAGCGTAAATAGTTGTTGTTTTCCTTCTAATAGTATAGATTAATTATAAGATAGTATATATTCAAAACTTTCTTAATTTATTGATAACTATATTTACTCTACAGATATAATTACTCGAATTTAAACTTGAAAGAGAATAATATTTTCTTTCATCATGGAAATCACTTGATGAGTTCAAAAGAATAATGTTAAGACCTTGTGTAGCATTCAATGATGGATCTTAACAGGGGTAGAGGGCTCTTTACCCCAAAAATATTTGAAATGTGCGTTCCTAGTCCTCCAAAGTTTTAAATGCTACTATGATGTCACTAAACTTTTTCTATTTTGATTTTAAATTTACGGTTGACCCTCAAATTCTATACCAAGACTTGAGCCACCGTTAGCCCGTTGGTTTTCGGCTCTTTGCTTTTGCCAATGGCCAAGGCTTAGCGGAATCAACGGTCAGACCATTAAGCCTATAGTCTAGGCCATCTCAATTCTTAGTTCTTTCTGCCATCCAGGAATTGTTAGGCCCTAATGCTATCCGAATATCTTTTTTTATTTTCTTTAAGACTTAAATTATGATAAAAATATTATTAAAGTATGTATATCAATATAAATTAATTTTATAACTCAAATTTTCTTATTCTCGGTAAATTATTTTATAAAAATATTTGTTATTGTAATTAATTTTAAATTGATGAATTCATTTATTTAAACCAAATATTTAAAAATGATAAAAATATTTTCGTAGAATAATTTACATAAAATAATTATTTTCTTTATTTTTTTATTAAATACATGATTACGTCATGATTACATTAAATTATCAACAGAATTTGGAATTTAATATTTGTACAACAAGAACATTACTTATTACATAATCATCCGTATAGGTTTTTTAATTGACAACTTTTAAATTATGATGTAATTCCCATTATTTTCTGGACCTATCTCTTTTTTCTTTACAACTTTAGGTGACACCAATTACCCAACCACAATTTGCATGTATTAATATATATTTTTCCCTTGAACATGCCATTTTTTATTCATGATACTCAACATGATTATGTAATCATGACACATGCAGAAATGAATCATGTCATATTTTGATTTTCTTTCTTAATATTTGGGACGTGTTTTTGATAGTTTAGAAAATTAATTATTTAAATTATAAATAATATTTATTATTTTAACTAAATTAAATTTTGAACATGATTTATAAATATAAATATATTTAACATATTTTCTTTTAAATGATAAATATGTCATTATTTATTTATCACTTGATGGGATGAAATGAGATTTTAGGTAAGATTGAATTTTATTGTTTATGTAAAAATTAAATAAGAGTAAACCAAATACGTATTGAAGCCTATTTGGGGATGTTAGTACATGAAGGAAGCTTCACATGATCTTAGTAGCAACAGGGAATGGTCCTTGCCGCAACTGGATAACATTAAAGGAGAGCAGAGTTTAAAGCATTTGCAATCACAATCTCACTTCAAAAAGAAAGTTCATGTGCATGTGGATGAAAATGACTTTCTGGCTCAAGAACCAACTCATGAAAAAGGTACAAAACACACATCAAACCTATGATTTCACCCCAGTGAAAGCTCATTCTATCGAGATTATAAAAAAAATACATAATAATACTCGAGTATAATTTCAAATTTTGAATATATATTACGGGAAAATTGAATATTTATAATACCTTACCGATGAATAATAAAACCATCTTTGCTCGACAAACCTAAAACAATAGCATGAACTCATGCAATAGTTTTGTGGGCATTATTTTAGGGTTTTAAATCATGATTTAATGGGTTACCTAACTTCAAACCAGTATACACATACAGACGACAAAGGCATTATTGGGGAGTGCTTATTACAAAATATGTAGTTCCCAACCTCCCCACAAAACTTTACGATGAAATTATAATCCGGCACCATTATAACTCTTTGAAAATTGAAACTCTCTCATGCTGTTAATTTTCTACCTACTTTCCTTTTTACTTTCCCAGCAAACAAACAAAGAAAATAGACACCACAATCATGATTATTTGAAGCTAAACGTTGAGAGTAATATAATTATCATTTGAAATTATAAGTGAAAACAACAACCCACCAGCATCTTTGAATTAAAATAAATTGACATATTTGGTAAGCATGGTGACATGATACCCATGTCTACACTGTTCAACAAGGCATGGAGAGGGAGACAGTTCATGTGGTATGTAATAAAAGGGAACTTGTTTTAATATCCTTTGATGTCATAATTCTAAATTAATTGCAGGCTTTAATAATTACCAATTAATACTGCTATTATTACAAATCATCATCAATTTTTATTCTTAATTTGAAAAAGTAAATTCCATAGTATGACTATAGTAATCTATGCATGGGTGCAAAAACTTTGGCTTTATATATAGATTATTTATTATTGTACCAAATTATACTTGTAAATATATATTGGGGGATAATTCTAGTTCTTGTTAGTTCAAATAGTCAACCGTTTTATATTCACATATATATAAATATTTGCCGTTTTAAAACAAATATATAATATATTATAACATAAATGTTGATTTTATAAAAATTAAATATAGTTTAAAAATACATGTATGTATGTATGGATCAAGTTACCTCAGTGATTAAAAAATAATTATTATTTTTAGAGGTCTCAGATTTAATCACGAGAGACTAACAAAAATATTGATATTTCATAGTCAAATAATTAAGAATATTTAAAACAAACACTATCTTATAATCATTTTACATTTATTAAAAAAATTAATGTACCTGATAATACCCTATGATTTACTTTTAGGTCTGTTTGTTTCCCTGAAAACGTTTTCTGAAAAATGTTTTACATAAAATGAATTACATTATCTAAAAAACGTTTTCTGGAAAACGGTTTATGGTTGGAAGATGTTGTTTAAACATTTTTTCCACCAGTTAATGAATTTTTTTTAAAATTATTTATTACAAATATTAAATACAATAAACAATATTATTTATCATAAAACTTAATATTATTATTTTTAAAATATTAAAATAATTTATTTATTATTAAAATATTATTTTTATAATTTTATTAATAAAAATACTAATATTGATATATTTTGTTGAAATAAAAATATTATAAATTATATTAATTATTTATTAAAATAATAGTGTTTTATTATATTTTAAAAATATTAATTAATATATTTTAAATATCTTCATTAAAATATTATTAGATTATTTTATTGATATTAAATATATAAATAATATTATTCATTATTAATAATTTAATATTATTTCTATGAATTAATAAATATTATAATTTTATTAATAATTTATTATATATTATTAAAATATAATATAATATCTTATATTATTATAATATAATTGATTATTTTATTATAATATTATATTATTAGAAATATTAATAAATATTTCTAATAATTAATATTTTTATTAAAATTATATTAAAATATTTTATTAATATTAAATTAATAAAATTAAATTATTTTAAATATTTATTCTTTGAAGTGAAAAGTTTGGAAATTAACTTACGAAAAATTAGACGCAAGTCATTTTCCAAAAAAACACAAAGTCTATTGACCATAAAATTTTTTATAACCAACCAGTTTTCCTCCAACCAAACACTTAAAAATGAGGAAAATATTTTTCGAAAAACGTTTTATGTGAAACAAACATACCCTTAATTTATAAATTCATATACAAATAATAGATTAAATAAAAACTTGTATAAATAATTTTGGTACATTCAATAATTGATTTATTTAATTGAACGCTGGGATTTCATAGGTTATATTAATTCTTGTTATTAGTAATCATGGCCATTCATCAACTACCCAGTTACTCCTCCCAATAAAAGTCCCATTCAGTCTCTTCCCTTTTGAAACCACTTTAATTTCTTCTCTATTTTCCCCTTCTTCTCACATGCATTAAAAAAAACCTGTAAAATACTCCATTGATAGAGAAAAAGTTTAAGCTTAATGGGACTTGATGATGCATGTAAAACATGCCTTGTTCTAGGGTTAGGCTTCTCATCGACCCCGGAAACTCCACCCAAGGCCGAAGATCAAACTTCCAAGAACCCACCAACCATGACGGTTCCGGCGGCGAGTTTCGAACCATTCCTTACGCTTGGTCTTTCCGGTGAGGGCTACCGAGTTACCGTCACCAAAAATGTTGATGAGAACAAGGGTGGTTATCTTCATCATCCTCACCATGAAGAACCTCCCACCGCGACTGCCACCGCTCGTGATTTGTATCGTCAAGCTTCTCCTGATCCCAGTGCTGTTTCATCGTTTTCCAGTGGTAGGGTCAAGAGAGAGAGAGACCTTAGCAGCGAAGAAGTAGAGATTGAGAAGAATTCGTGTAGAGTTAACGATGAAGACGAAGATGGCATCAGTGCAAGAAAGAAACTTCGGCTCACGAAAGAACAGTCGGCTCTTCTCGAAGAAAGCTTTAAACAACGCAGCACTCTGAACCCAGTAATTCTCTCTCCAAGTTTATTGTATCTCATATATTTTATCACCTTATCAGCTCCGATTAACCAATCTTTTTCGTTCTATAAAAAACAGAATCAAAAGCAAGCTTTAGCAAGGCAATTAAACCTGAAACCGAGACAAGTCGAAGTCTGGTTTCAAAACAGGAGAGCCAGGTAATTGTAACCTAAGATCATAAGTCATAAACATTTTTTTTTCAAGTTTTAAGTATATGAAAGAAAAAAAAATGACAAACTTGCCACTGAACATCACAGAACGAAGCTTAAGCAGACCGGGGTGGATTGTGAGTTCTTGAAAAGATGCTGCGAGACGCTGACGAATGAAAACAGGAGACTGCAAAAAGAGTTACAAGAACTCAAAGCACTGAAAACGGCGGCACAACCCTTTTACGCGAACATGCCGGCGGCGACCCTCTCGCTTTGTCCGTTGTGTGAGAGAACCAGCGGTGCTGGGAATCCCAAACGCCCGTTTTCAATGCCTTCAAAACCACATTTCTATAATCACGTCACTAATCCTTCTGCAGCATGTTAATTAATTTATATTTCTTAGAACGTAACAGCAAAAGAAAGTGAATTTGAAGTGTAATTAATTAATTTTTAGACCAAGAAAATATTAGTATAATTACTGATCAATGTAAATGATCATTAGAAAGATATAGTATAATCTATGAAGGGATTATTGCTCTTAATTATCATTATTATCATTTCATATGTTACTCTTTCTTAATATAGTATTTAATTTTATTTATTTTATTTAAAAAAAACACGTGTCGGACTAACAAATATTCCATATATATATATATTTAATTTAACAAAATCTTATTAGCATTGACTTTGTATTCAAGCTTTTTTTTCAAACACTAAAAAAGTTGGAAATCTTTGTAGTTGAACATGGTTGAAATTTCACACCTGCTTCGAAACTTCTTCTTACATACTTGTCATAAAATACTTTCTACTCCTTTGCAAATTCCAAACATTAATAATCAAATAATTAAATTTTTGTATTTTATTGTTAAAATAAAATTTGATTATTGGCAAAACACTGAAAAGAAAAAGGGTCGTCCGAAAACCTATCAAAGGGTCTTAATAGTAAAAAATAATATTATTCTTTTTAAAGATATAGTATTGAATTTGAACAGTTGCATTTGCAAGGTATGTGAATATTATTAGTTGAATAATTTTTTTATAAATAATACTTTATAATCCCACCACACATTTAAAAAATCAAAAAGAAAAAAATGGTCATTTGAGATTGATGAATTACCGTTGACGGTGTCTGAAAATGGGAAAAGTTGAAGAAACTAAAAAGAGTGGGTGGATATAATTAAGTGAGAGGGGGGAAGGGCGTGGGAGGAATGAAGTTAGCTCACGTTTATGCGTCTTTTGTTCAGTTGTTTTCATATGAATGGTTGAACGTTGTTCATGTCTATTGAATCAATTTTGATTTGCATTTATGTATTTTTATTTTAAATTAATTATTATTGATTTATTTTTATATCAATATTTGTGAAGTTAATAACCTTTGGGTAAGTATAATAAAAATTCCAAAAAGAAATAATAAATATAAAATTGGTGGGGGTAGTCATAGTCTCGTGAGATGCTCTCTCTTTGAGGAAACCGGTGGGTCTTACCCCACGCGATGTCCCAATGGTTCATCCCTTAGCTTTTATTGTCCAAGGATTTTCATATATTCGATTCGGAATGAGAGCAATTTCCTGGAAAATACTCCCTTATTTTCTTCGTCAACATCATCCCTTTCATCACTTTTTTTAACCATTGCCATCATCATTACATACGAATCTTCAACCCTTTATACAACTTTCAAACGCAAATAATTATTTATTTGACGTTTGCTAAAGTATTATTATCATTGTTATTTTTCGTTGTTTCTACTCCTTTTGCTTCTTTCAAAAAAAAATAAATATATAAACAATTAAAAAAAAGTGGTTGAAAAGAGTAAGTTCCGGTGTGGGAAAATGGACATATTTCCTTTAAATTAATAAAATAGTTTTTATTGTTTTTAAATTCTATTGCTAATGATTAATTAATAATCTCATCTTTTACATGGTTAAAGTTGTGCAAACATAATTGTTGTAGTTTAAAAAAAAAGGAAAATCAAAGGACATGTCTAGTGTTGGCTAATTCGTCGGTCCATCAAGCATTTATTTTAATAACACAAGATTCGGATATGACATTATCGGACGACAAATCTTTGCATTATTTATATTTCGTAAATTAAGGTTTCTAATTTTATAAATGATTAAATTAACGTGTTCTTTTGGTTTAAATGATACACCTCCTCTAATCTTCGTTGCAATTTCTTCTCAACCATCAATCAAGTTTTCATCAGCATTTTCAAATAATATTTTAGGTAAATTATGCGTTTAATACATAAACTATCATTTTTGATTCGTTATAATATCTAAACTTTTATTTTTCTTAAAAAAAGCTGTTAGTTTTTTTTCCATTTTAGTACTCTGTAATTAAAAGCTTAATGGTCGGGCTCGTCGCACACCGCATCTACAGTTGTCTGCTATCGCATTCGTTGATCGATAAAGTCCAAACTTTCCAACCCGTAGCACCCCTAAACATGACATCAACTTTCGTTTCATCGAAAAACGCCTCAATCTCTTTAAATCGATGATGTACTAAAATGAAACAAAAACTAAACGTTATGAATAGGGATGGCAATGGGTCGGGTCGGGTCGGGTTTTTGGGCCACCCGACCCGACTCGAGAAGAAAGGGTTTTTCACCCGTGACCCGACCCGACCCGACGAAATTAAGGTTTCACCCGACCCGACCCGACCCGAATATATGACTTAGAAACCCGACCAGACCCGACCAGACCCGAAATAATAATAAAATAAATTTTATTCAATGAAAACAGTGACTTAATTGAAAAAAATTATATATGGAGGGACATTATTGTAATTATCCCTAAATATATAGGATAAAATTATATATATTTTCGGGTCGGGTCGGGTCGGATTTTTTTCACCCTAAACCCCGACCCGACCCGACCCGAACAGTACATTTAAAAAAAACCCGACCCAACCCGAAATTTTTTAAAAAAATCCGACCCGATCGGGTCGGGTCGGGTCGGAACCCGTCGGATTCGGGTTGAGTTGCCATCCCTAGTTATGAATCATTTTGAAAAAAAATGAGAGTTTAAATACTAAAACGGATCAAAACTGACAGTTTAGTTAGGCTTGTAAACGAACCGAACGCACACTAAATGAGGTATGTTCATGTTCGTTCATTTAATAAATAAACGAACACGAACATAAACGAACAAATTTTTTTTGTTCATGTTCGTTCATTAAGGAATATAGCTTGTTCATGTTCGTTCATTTAATAAATAAACGAACACGAACGAATGAACATAAACGAACACGAACGAACGAACATAAACGAACACAATAAACGAACATAAACGAACAACACAAACACAAAAAAAAAAACCTATTCGAACACAACAAACGAATGTATAAAAAAGTAAACAACAAGAATAACAACTTAAAATTAATTAATATAACCTACAACTTTAGAGTTAATTTGTTCGAATAAGACAAAAACATACATAAATCATAAATAAACTATATGAACATAATAAAGTCTTAAAGTTAATTTGTTCAACAAAACAATCTTCTTGAAATCCAAACAACTTCAATAATCTTCGTAACATATTCAACTTACCCTCTGTTCGAACATAAATGAACGAACATAAATGAACATAAATGAACGAACATATAATTAAACGTTCACGAACGTAAATGAACGAACGAACCCTTTGTTCATGTTCGTTCATTTAATTAAACTAACGTAAAATCTTGTTCATGTTCGTTCATTTAATAAATAAATGAACATAAACGAACTTCTCGCCGCACTGTTCATGAACGGTTTGTTGAACGTTCAGTTCATTTACAGGCCTAAGTTTTGTTACTAATCACATAGTTTACCCTAATTCTTTAAGTCAAATTTTTTATATTAACTTGATTATGATTGAATCATTAAGTGGTCTCAGTATCTATTCTAAGTACTCAACTATTGACAATAACGTTCAATCACACTTGCAATCACTGGTGCTCGAACCTATGACCTTTAGGAGCAACACGATTCCTTTAACCATTTAGGTAAGTTGGTTCGTGCTAGAATATATATCCAATAATTATAAAATTTTAATAAATGTTTATTCAAAATTTGATTTAGATTATATAAATGACTAAAAAATAAAAATCATAGGAGGGACTCAACCAAAAACCGACATACTAGCTGGTTTTCATTAGGGGTAAATCTAATTAATTAAGTTTTGGAAGGGAATTAAATCATGTTTATTATTGGTTAAACTAGCTAGATCTTGACTCCTCGTTGTTATTATAGGATTTGAGCACCTCATTCAAATAGAGATAAAGAGCTGGCCTAGCAAACTATGAGTAACATAGAACCATATAAATTCAGTTGCCATTCTTTTAAAGTTTTCATAATTAATATTAAAAAAAACAATTCATGTGAAAAATCTTAATTTTTTTTTTATTTTTTTTAAAGATATATGTATATATTATTTATATTATGTTATAATTGAAAGGCAAAAATGACATATTTCCAAACTTAGTCAAATTCCGATTTAAGGACTATACAAGATTAGACAATTAAAATAAAAAAGGACATAGGGGACGGTCCATGTTGCTTCAACAATGATGTGCACACTTAAATTAAGATGTGGAAATTGAGAAATCAAACCCAATGATGTCAATTACATGTGATTTGTTGCCTTTCATTCAGACATGAAAGGATTGCTTTTCAATTCCACAATCTACCTATTTTAAATGTTTTAAATTCGTATTCGTCGGCAGATATTTGTATTTATTTATTTAACGTAATTATACTAAAATCTTTAGTGGATATTTTAACATAGGATGGTCACGATAATTATGTTGACCCCTTGTATTTTTTGAACTAATGGGACTCGGATATTGTATAACATAGCAAAAGTTAATGAAATTGTGTATTTAATTAATGATGTTATTTTCAATATATTATTACGAGTTTGAAAGTGAATGTTAATCTTTTTAAAGATTTGGATCGAACAATTTCTTCTACAAGACATATGCATTGTCAATTAATTAATTAATAAACTCTAAATATATACTATATTATAATCAATCTAAATTAATAAAAAAATTAAAAAGTCGCTAACTCAGTATTCAGACCTAATCTCATTATAATCCCACACTCAAAATTGAACACAACTGGTGGGGGAACTGTGGCATTGTCATGTTTCACACTACATTTATTTATGTATCAATTCAATGGATGAATAAATAAAATGGACTCAAATATTTTATACATACCTTACGAATTTGAATAATATTATCGTATTCGTAATTTAAATTTTTATTTATAAATATCTGTTTATGCGATGAGATAAGACTCGGTTGGGCCCAAGATTCGGCTCGCCATGACCGGAGCCAACACCGAAAGTAACCCTTTAATATTATTAAACCTTGAGTCGGTCCTAATGGAAAAAAAAAAAAATAATAGTTTTAAAAGAAGCAAAGGAAATTAGATTTGTTGGATATTTCAAACATGTTGCTTGGTCGTCAAACATGACTTTTTGTTTGAATCTGATCAAACATGACTTTTGTAAATAACCAATAATTAAGTTGATGCAATAAAACTAGGGATGGGCATGAGATCCAAGCTAGATAAGTTTCGATCTGACTCTACTCGATCGGATTGGGTTTTTTTTTTAAAAGTTGAGTTCGAGTCGGCTTTTTTTAAAGGTGGTGTATGGGTCGGGTCGGATTCAGGTTAGGGTGAACAAATATCCTACCTGACCGAAAAAATAAATTTACTTTATATATTTAGAAATAATTACAATAATACCCCTCTATATATTAGTTTTTTCAATTAAATCACTATTTTTATTGAATAAAATAATATTTTTATTATTATTTCGCGTCGGATCGAATTCGCATTTTATCTCAAAAAATCAGGTCGGGTGGAGGATATATATTTTTCAGATCAGATTGGTTAGGGTTAAGGATATAAAATTTTCTTATTGAGTCGGATTGGCTGAAACCCAACCCATGCTCATCCCTAAATAAAACATACGCATTAAAATATTATTTATATCTTTCTACCCTAAATAAAATATTTATATTTGGAAAGGAAAATGTTAGGCATGGGCTTTGGGCATACTCAATAGTGGACCAATTCTTGGGTTTTACTGTATGCGTGAACCCAATTCACTAATAATCGAAACCGGACATTCAGAACATCCTTTGCAATTTGCATATCCAATTTTATGTTCAATGATTTATTCCCTGAGCATGGATTCAAGATTTTATGTTAAGAAGACAATTTTTAAAATTGTCGGAGTAGATCACTTATAACATTTTAAGGGTGAAAACATATTATTAATTAAAAATGTAAAAAAAATCTAAAATATGTATTAATTTAAAATTTTTAAAAGGGCGACTATCCTCAGCCGCCTTACTTCAGTTCATCCCCGTCACTAAGGATTCTATGAATAAATTTTTCATATAAATTTAGATGGTTAGTGAAAATGGATTTGGAAAAAAAGAAGAAATTGGAAAATATGAGATTGTGTGTGTGTGTTTTTATCATGTTGTTTTGATTAGATATGAAATTAAATTTCAAATTTTAGACACTCGTGAAATCAAAATTAATTTTTTATAAAATATTTTAACAAAATAAACAAGATAATTCAATTATGATGGTGAATGCCGTTTTAATATAAACAAGGTGCGTTTTACTTAACAGGCTAAAATTCTAACATGTAATTTAAACCAAGACAATAATCTAACAGCAATATATTCAATTCTATTTTCAACAACTAAAACTTTGTAAATTAGTTATTCCCATTATAATAAATTAATTATATATGTTAATAATTTACAGGAAAAAATAACAACATGAGATCAATATAAAATAATATATGTATGACATATGAAATTTAGTATGGTTTAATTTTGTATATCCTAACTAATAAGAGAAATAAATAATAAAATAATTCATTATAAACGTAAATATCATGAATAATATAAATACATGGAATTCATCAATATTTACGGGCGACTTTGCTCCATATTTTTTTTTCATTTGGAACCAAACTATAGAGAAATAAAAGTGGAGGGACTAAAATAGATTTTTTTTAATAAAAAAATCAGCTTTAAGTGAATTAAATCGTTAGACGCCTTCCTTAAACTCATCATTTTATTTATTATACCAATTTTCAATAAAATTTCACTTTGGTCTTTTATTTTAATTTTATTTGATCCTAAAATGCAAAAATAAAAATTAGATCAAAGTTATCAATACTATGACAACTTATCAAAATCGATTTAACTGTCGATAACTTCACTTGCATTATACAACATTGATATTCTCTAATTAATTGATCATCATCCCCAAAATTAGAGAAAAAAAATCACATGGTTTTGCCAAGTAAAATATAAGCTATTAATTAATATTTTTATACAGATACTATATCTATTAATATTTATTTAAATTAAATATTATAAAATAATCAACCTTAAATTTAATTTAATTTATTTATAATATTAAAGTTAAAAATTTTAAATTTATTTGAAGTATTTTTAAATAATTTTAAATAATCATTAACTATGATATCAGTTATAGAAGATGAAAAGTAGTTTAGTAATTATAAAGTAATCATTAACATATGATTGAAAGTCCAAGCCATATTTATTAACTAAGATTATCCGCAAACTTTCGAGATAATGTTCTCGAAATTAATTCACGAGATAATGTATTCTTCAGATTAATTGCTCAAATAGGGTGAAATTTGGTCGTAGGTCGCCATGTCATCCGGGCGACCTACAAGGTCGTCATTTCTTCCCTGCGAGCTACGAGAGATTTTGCATGTGTCATGCACGTCCCAACACACTGAAGCTAAGTAATAAATATTACCTACATAGGTAATTAGGCTTTCATGCGATTACCTAAATTTCCCTAAGTAACAACGATTACCTACATCGGTAATTAGACTTTTAACTAGGCTGAAATTGAGGTCGCCATGTATGTCGGGCGACCTTATAGGTCGCCATGTGATCCCGACGACCAAACTGGGGTTTCGGGAAAAAGCTTAATTACCGATATAGGTAATGCAGTAGCTCACCACAGTTCGCAGAGACAACATGGCGACCTCCTTGGTCGTCAGGAGCGCTTGACGACATATGTTCGAACTGTAGATTTCACCTTATCTCAACAATTAATTATTGGAACGCTTTACCTCGTGAAATTTTTTTTCCAACAACATTTTCTCGTTGATTTAGCCATTATTATGTGGTTCTTCCTATATGAGCTTTTCTCCGTGAATGAAGAAAGAAAAAGTGCAAAAGATATGGTGGAAGTGTCGGCACACAAGGAATCACAAAACCATTCCAACTTTTAACAGCAAAATATAAAGGCTGGAAGTGGGTGTTCGAGATGGCTCCAGACCCACGTTAATAATATATAAGGTTCATTCAATGCTGTTCTGCCTTCTTTCCGTTTCTTTCTTTTTCCTCTGGTTTCTGCACAACTCATTTGCCTCCTTCCACGTCCCATCATTTCATCAGAGAGCGACATTTCCTTCATAGTTTGTGCTTTCAATTCATTCACTCAAACCACCCTCTTGTTCTATAATATGTAAAATTTCAATTACGATATCCGTATCAAGTCTCTTTCATGTAGCTTTAGTATTCATATCTTCCTTCTGCTATTTAGTTCATCTCCTTTTGTTATTCTTTCCATCAAAAACAAAAATGGTTTGCATACACAGTTTCTTCGTATTTTCCCAGAGACCTAGCTTTATTTTCCTTGTTTTTCTCATGATTTTAACCACAACCCATGTGAGTTACAAAGCTGAAGGTATTCATCACTCTATTTCATATATTTTCAACATTTTTCAAGTGTTTTTCCCTTTGATTCCCGACTTGTTTTCACTGCAGGTAAACCAAAACTCACATCTGCAAACAGCTTTTCCAAGGTGAGCTTAGTCAAATTTTCCTTGAAAAAAAAACTATGCTTGGATTGTTTTCTGAATTTGTGTTGTGAAATTTGGATATAGACAATAAATGAAGAGAAGGCGACGTTGTTGAGAGGTCAGATAGGTTCGAGGCCGCCACGATGCGAAGGAAGATGCAGTTCTTGCGGGCACTGTGAAGCCATTCAAGTGCCAACGAGTCCCCAGATCAGAAACGGAAACGACCATTCTTCAACGTCTAACTCTGATGTTGCTCTTGGAAGAAAAGGCGGAGGCTACAACTCTAATTACAAGCCCTTGAGCTGGAAATGCAAATGTGGCAACTTCATCTTCAATCCCTGAACATTTATCATAGTTTCCGGAACAGAATCTTAGGTTGTTGAACACCTGTCTTTGAACCCTGTAAATCTGTGTTTGTAAGAGAATTACATATTCAACGGACTGTCAGAATGTTGAGATTTTACTAGTAATTATTATCTGAAATGTGGTGTTATCAACAAAACAAAATCTGGGACAGAGCAAAATATCAACGGCGGCGATGAACTCTGCTGATTATCTGAAGCCTCAGTTGCAGATTATCCAAGCTAAATAAGATATTGTTTTATTTTAAGTGAATAAAGCAGGAAAGTTGATGAGATATCTCAATAGCATTGCATTTATATCGTTGTCCTTTTGATCAGACATTACATAACAAGGACAACTTCCATACGTTTGCAGGTCCGAATTCTTCTGGTTAAATCAAATACAAATTGTGCAAGTATTTTATGCATTATATATCACTGAGAATTATTATATATATATATATATTGATATAAGATAAGCTTTCAATTTTTCTTTATATTTAAGGTAATTGATTTTGATAACCCTTTAAATTTACATATTTTAACTGTTATCCAATTAGAGAAGTCTGTATCTATAAAAGTGAAACCTTGGGAAAGAATAATAAGGTGGAAATGGGGTAAGAGTCACGGGGGAAGATGGGGCACCATCACCTAAAAAAACTCCAAACTCCAAAGCTTAATGGGAATGTTTTTGTTGCAAAATCCAACAGACAATGAGAGAAAAAAAATTAACTAATTTACAGTAAAAAACTGATGCACACGACTGCCCAAAATTCATGGATCCTCAGCATTCTCTCTTGCTATATATATTATTTTTTGTCATCAACAAACACACGTATTCATTCATTTAAATAATCCGTTGTCAGGTTTTGTTAATATTAGAGTTAGGGTAAATTACGCATTTAATACCTAAACTATCAGTTTGATCTGTTTTAGTACCTAAACTTTTAATTTTTTCAAAATTATACCTAACGTTTAGTTTTTGTTTTATTTTAGCATCCCATCGTTAAAAACTTAACGCATTTAGTCACTAACCTATCAATTTTGGTCTGTTTCAATGCTTAAACTTTCATTTTAAAAAAACTTAAGTATGGTTTAGTACTAAATGTTTTGGTATCTAAACTTTCAATTTTTTCAACACTTAAGTTTTGATACTAAAAATGAAACAAAAAATACACTTTAGGTATGATTTTGAAATTTTTAAAATTTCAGGTATTAAAACGAATCAAAACTAGTTTAGATATTAAATGCGTAGTTTATCATAGATTTTAATCCAAATTCAGTTAAATTTCCGAAAAAGTATCAAATATAATAATATATTTTATATTGACATAATGTACTAAATATAATTTAAATAAATTTCGTGCTATTTAAGTTTTTTTAATCAATTATCCTTATAAATAGATATTAGTAAAATTTTATAATTAAGTTTTATGTTTTGTATGATTCAACAATTTTTGAAGATTAAGTTGTTATTTTTTATGTCATATAATAATATTATTAGTAAATATATATGGACTGAATCAAGTAAAGAGGAATCTTGTGCTGAGTAAGATAATAGTGAGTATAACAATTTCAGATTTCAAAATATGCAGATTTATGCACAATCCATTGGCATCAGCCCCATTGTTGATCATGTTTAGCCTTCAAATATTGTTTCACAAGAGCCACCACCGCCATAACGGCTGCTGCCATTAGGGGTGTAAACGAGTCGAGTCGAGCTCGAGTATTGCTGAGCTCGACTCGACTCAAAAACTCTGAAATGAAGCTCGATTCGACTCGAAAACTCGCGAGCTTAAAATTTTCAAGCTCGACTCGAACTCGAAATCCTGAACTGAAGCTCGTGAACAGCTCGAAAAGGCTCGAAATGAAAAAAAAAATCTTAAACTTAACTTGATTGAAGCCTCAAACTCGAACACGAACCTTAAATACATGAAATCTTGCTATATTTTTTTAAAAAATCAATACATAAATATAAATATTATTATTAATTTATTTTTTAAAATAAAATCTTAATATATTATATTTTCGAGCTGCTCACGAGCTTTTCGAGTCGAATATCGAGTAACTCAGTTCAGCTCGTTAAGAATTCGAGTTGAGCTCGAGCTCAAGTTGAAACCATTCGATCCGAGTATTTATCGAGCCTTGATCGAGTCGATCTCAAGACTCGAATAGCTCGCGATCTGTCTCGTCTCATTTACAGCCTTAGCTGCCCTCATCGTCACTACCGCAAGCGCTACCTGTTGCTTCATCTTCTTCTTTTTTTTAATTGATTTGACGACCGGAACACTTACCCTTTTCATTATAGTTTATAATTAAATCTTCATTTTTACTTTTACTTTTTTCATTTATCTGAAATTTATTAAGGTAAATAATAGAGAATCATCGAAATCAGTAGAGAAGAACGAGTATTATGCATCCAAAAAGTAATTGATTTCAAACCCAAAGATATTGCAATTAAGAGCCATTACCGAGATTACCCCGATCACTGTAGGTCTCTTCTTGGATTCCAGCCCCATGGTTTCTTTTAACATTTTTTTTTATAAGAACTTGCATCTAATTTATTAATTAATTATTTCAAATAGAATATTATACATATGATAATTGATTAACTATTTTAGATTGTATATTATAGAAATATATTATGGAACGAAACTTTCTGTCCAACTTATATTTTATTCATAATATCATAATTCAAATTAAAGATTATGTAAATTTTATAAAATTAGACTTATTATTGATAATAAGTACAAGTAAGTCTTGAGAACTTAGATATTTTGGATTAAAGTCTCATTTTGTGTAAACTTTGTAATTTTTGTTTTAAATTTATTTTAATATAAGATTAGATATATTAAACACGGTTTAAATGAATTATAGGATTCAAACTAGATTGAAGAGGAAAAAGAAGAAAACATAAAATAATGAAAGAAATAAAGGTACAACCGTACATGCTTTTTGAAAAGTGTGGAAGAAATGATTACGTTGAAAATGTTGGATGCTCAATGCTCATTTCGGAAACAAAACCCTACGAAACTTCCACCCAGGGATGGAACAAGGGTGAAGTAATAGTACTGAAAATTTAAAATATCATATATTTTAATTTTTTATATATTTTTTTATTAAAAATATACTTTTATACCCTTATATTTTATAAATTCATTTCCTTTTAAAATTTTATAAATTCATTTCCTTTTAAAATTTTTAAAGTTCACTATCTAACATAAATGTCTATGTGCATCTCTAATTCTACCAACTTGTGCCAAAAGAAAGAAGGAAAAAAAAAAAAACAAAGGAGCCAAAAGATGACTTTGTGGTCCTTAATTTTACTAGTTCAAATGTCCTTGTACATCAAAGTCGTCATGTGGTTGCTTGATATAGTGGGGTTTAGACTAAAATAAAGGTAAACTATACGAATAGTCACGTTTGTTTAGGATATGTCCGACTTTAGTCACCAATTTAAAAATTAAGAGTAAATGGCCCCTAACATTATCAGCTTGTATGGTTTAAGTCCCTCTGCCGTTAACCCTTAATAAAAATATGACATAGCTGAGGGACTAAAATCGAACGAGAGTTAACGGTTGAAGAACTTAAATCAAATGAATCAGTAACGTTAGAGACTAAAATCGAACATATCAATAACGTGTGGGACCATATACCCTTAATTTTTAAATTTGTGACTAAAGTCGGTAAAACCGAAAACAAAAGGGATTAGTAGCATAATTTACCCTTCAAAATAAATATGAAGAATAACTCACATGATTTACAAATATAAAACTAAAACACATTGTGGATGTAGATAGAAATACATATATCAAAAAATTCTGAACAAATATTAGTTTATAGACATCATGTTCAAACAGATGAGTCTATAAAGTGTATGTGTGTTGTTAATGACTAAGAAAATTTATGAACAAATATTAGCTTGTAATTATCCATATCTATCATATGCTCTTTTGGTCCATTTTCGTGTTGTGTTTGGAGGGAGTTTTGAGACTTTGTGGTTTGAGAAGAGATGTTACATAGTGAGAACGAACTTGTTTGGGCTGCTTCTTGTTTGAAGGGGAAGCCCTTGTTAGTTCTCATATTAAAATTTGTTTGGTGTGTTCATATCTATTATGTTTGGGAATAGAGTAATTTTCGCCTATTTAGGGGTAGATCTTGGATAGTGGAAGCTACAAAGCAGGTTGTTAGGGTTTGCTCGGACATTGTAAATAATATGCTTTGTATAGCATGGGGTATTCCCTGAAATTTTTGTTAGTGATCCCATTTACTTTATAACTTCGTAGCAGTCTTCTACTTCTAAGGTAATACAGTTGAAACTTATCAAAAAAATATTATCCCAATCTATCCTCCTAACTTTTTTAAGAATTGATGTAAATCAATCTATAAGAATTATTATCCAATCAAGACTTAAAAACCTTATACAAAATTAATATACCAAAATCATTTAGCCAATCAAAACTTAATCTTGCATAAAAACACTGATATGTAGCACAAGTAAAGCCATAAAACATCATTAAAATTAAAATGAATTAATTTTCTATAGATTAATCAATAAAATTTTGAAATATAAAAAAGTTGTTATTATCGAGAGTTTCACTTGAAAATTTTGAACTAATAATCACATTTTCTTACAATTACATCACCCTGTTCAAACATACCAATTCAACATCAAATCAACATCCTGGTTCCATTACTAACTAGAGAAAATCTTAAGATACAAAAGTAAACGTGGATACGGTTTCTCAAGTTCATCACATGACCTTGAGCAAACCCTGTCGTAGGGTTTTCACAAGATCCTTTAATGTCATCGAAAACTCAGATTCCATCTGCAATAACCATGAAATATGTCAAGGGAATTGTAAATAATATTCACTAAACTTGCAGAGCCATATAAATTGCAACAACGTTGTAAAAAATTACCCGAGCAACAATGGTAATATCAAGAGCAGCTTGTCCCAAGGGGAAGGCATTGCTATTAATCACCGACAAATGAAGCTTTTCGACTTCGTTTATGATGCTTGATATGCACCCTTTGTTTGTCTCGCAGTGGATTCTTATCAGCACATCTTTGTCCGAAACTCTTACTTCAATCTCGGGATATTGGCTGTCAACAAATGAAGGTGTCTCAATAACATCTGCATCAAATTGGGTTTTCTTCACAAACTTGACCGATTCCACTGTTCTCTTAGCAACTTGTTCCTCGAGCGTTGCCACTCGCTCTTGAAGTTGCTTCAAGTATTCGATAGCGTCTCCCAGAACTGAAATTTTGTCTCTCTGCAACAATTTATAGACGTATAGAATCAGCATATAACAGTGATCTTCATGAAAAGAGTTGGAATTTGTACCTTTATTAGGCCAGGAATGAGTGCAGAAAGAGATAAGAAGCTCTGGGTGATCCTTTCACGTCGTTTTCTTTCAGCAATTACATGTTCTTGTGCATGTAATGGAGTCCTTGTAATTCCTGGTTGCAAAGCACAGTCTAGACCGTAGTATTGGTGAGAAATAACCGGCGGAGATGAATTGGAGTTGTGGAAGGAGATTATATGGGAAGGTGAGTAACAAGAAGAAGCCTTGGGCTTGAGTTGTTTCAATGGCGGCTTCTCGAAGTCGTCGGCGGCTTGATGATGAAAAGCTTGATCACTAATGGGTAAATAATAGCTTTCAGACTGGAAACCCATATCATCGAAAGGGTTCATCGTTTGATATTGTGCGAAAAACGAGGGATTCTCCATTAAAGAAAACACCTAAGATGTTAGAAATCAAAGGCACCAAACAAATTAAAACAAAGATAAAGGAGATGAAAAACAATGAAAGACCCAGTAATTGAAAAAACAGTTTAAGATGGACGAACATGAAATTTAGCTTAGTTATTCAGGAAAGCTCCAAAAATCTGCCAATAATTAGGGGGGAAAGTCGGCATGAAAGTTGAAAATGAAAGCTTACCTTGTGGAGTGCAAACAACAGTGTTTTAATGGAAATAATTAGGGTAATACATAAAGGTACGCGCTTCCAACTATATGGCGTTCTTGCAAGTGTGAAAATTCCACGCTTTAGACTTTATCATTTCAATTTAATATTTAGTTGTACAACATAATTACATATTATAAAATTTTATATTTCACTACATTTAATACGGAATTTGTAGTTTTTCTCTCTCAAAGTTCTATCTTAGGCCTTAGCAGCGGTTTGAGTGTTTTTGTCTTCCCCTTTTTTATAATTTTTCTTTTGATTTAAATTTAAAAAAACGTCCTCGTTTTGATTTCTTTCGTTTTGCATATTCTTGAAGCATTGTTTTTTCTTTTCTTTTATGAAACAATTGTTCGTCTACTTCTATAATACAATTTTGTCTAATATTACGATAGCTTGACATTTTGAGTTGCATTCCTCATAATATTTCCACAAATCAAGAAAGGTTAATAGTTTCGTATAGTTAGATCTTCTTTTAGAAAGATTGTTGATGTATTCATAACCGTTTGTGGGATAATATATCATATTGATCCTCTTAATCTTCGTGCTTTCAATAATATTATATCTAGGCTTGAATAAAGACAAAAATTGCTGATAATTGCTAAGTTATTACGGAAGATGCTGAGGAAGCCTATTTCAGTGAATGGTTCAAAAACGTGTAAGAAGCTGAAGGGACATGTCCCTACAGAATCAAGGTTAAATGACTAGGTCCAAAGTCATAAGCTGCATGCAAAATTAATTAGGAACCTAAAATCAAAACACGACGTTGGTGTGGATCAAAGATGGTTCCACCCTCCACACGGTTGACCCAGACAAAACCCTACAATATTCGTTTGATTAATTGCCCCAAAAAATCTGAAATTTAATAAATTAATTACATAATATCTATTTTTAAAACCCTCTAATATGGCTTCTATTGTGTTTTCTTTATCACAGTAGTTGAATGGACAATCCAGAATTAAAGATTTTGTAGTTTGTTTTTAAGATTTGGGATCCCTTTAAGATATTGCAGTTTATAGTATATAATTTCAAATGGCAATTTTATAGGCCTTGAAGTACATTGGTGTATCCCTTCAATTAGGGGTTAAGGTTTATATATTGTTAGCTAGAATATAATTGTTAAATTTATTTAATTTTTTTTAGTTTAATCATTGGTATTTAATCTATTATTAGATTTAAAAATAATAATTATTTATTTTTAGAGTAAAATATACAAATGGTCCTCGACCATAGGATATTTTTATGTTAAGTTCTCCGATTATAAAAAGTTACAAACTAATCCCCCGACTATAGGGAGTTGCTTTGTTGAGTCCCTCAACTATTAAAAGTTACAAAATGACCACCCGTTTATTCATTATGTTTCAAACTAGTCCTTTTTCTTTAATAAATTAACAACCATTTGAGCTGGACATTAACATGCTAACTAAGATACAATTATCGATTCAAATTATAATATCAAATTTTATCATATCTCAATTTGTAAGTTAACGTTCAACTCATACTATAGTTATTTTTTTAACAGAAAATGATGAGTTTGAAACATAATGAATAGTTGGGTGACCATTTTGTAATTTTTAATAGTTGAGAGACTCAACAAAACAATATCTTATAGTGTGGGGATCATATGTGTACTTCACCTTATTTTTTAATATATAATTTTTTTAATAGAAGTCGTTAATGTTATTAAAAATAGAAAAATATATAAATTATAATGAAGGTTTACAATTATAACATAAAATAAACACATAATAAAAATAAACATCAAACCAGAGTCGAGCGGCGTGAGAAAACTATCCACGAACGTAAATCATGTATCTAAATCCAATATGATGGTCCAAAGCATGAAAGATCAGCATGATAACAAATAAGTGACATCTTGATCAGTCGTGACGATGTCAAATCCAACATTGAGAAAAAGATAAACGAAAACAACGGTTAAATGATCGAAAACGTGCCATAAAGACATGAAAACTAGTCATAAAGGCAGAGTTATTAAAAATTAAAAAAACAATAATAAAGATATGCTATAATAAAATAAAAGAAAACCCATGAATACCGACAGTTGGCGGTCAGTACCAAGACTGATCTCACCATCGATCACAATGATAAAAAAGAGAAAAGAGACTGACGATACCAAAGAAAACATAAAAAACTAGGAACATTTTCATTTTAAATTTATGTGAGAATTTTTTCATTGATAATACAATAAATGATATTTAAAATAATTATATCATATCTAATTGCAATATAGAAAGAACATATTTCTCTGTGAAAAGTTACCATAAAACATAATAAGAACATTATATATGTATAAATGAAAAAAAATTATTGTAGGTGAGTTGTCTCCTTATTCGAAAATGATATCTTATTTAAAGGCACATATGAAATTGCAAATCTATTTATTATTTTAAGGCACATTAAGATTTTATTATATTTAAAATTATGAATTTGATTAATAAACAAATGGTAAGTATTTAGATTGGATTTGACGCATATTTAATTTAATGTGTTGGTGGAGTTTAATTTGTTTAATGTTGGGGCATATTTGATATGGTTACATCATGATGTCGCAGTTTCAAAGTAGCTTCGAATCCAACATTTCCATTTATTTATTGCCAATAAGAAGAACAAACACATTAAAGGGGCCGGCTTAACACATGATACACGTGATTCCTTTTTCGTCAACTTGAATGGAAAAATTTATGTCTTAATGCTATACGATGGTGTATAATATTAATGTGATGATTTAAAATAGTATTAATATAATAAATAATGACTGGTAATGAATAACATGGATCTTCGAGTTAACGTTATAAATCGTCACATCTATATCATAAGAATCAATATCTAATTTTATTAACTAGTAAAAATAAGTTTTTACTTTTCAAAAACAATTATTATTTAGTGGGTTAATTTTTCCCCTCAATTTAAAAATCATATTAAATATAAAATAAATTAAAGAATTACATTAATTTTCTTTTAAAAAAATTAAATATATAAGACATTTTAAGCCTATTATAATTGGTTGATTATTTGATAAATATTTATATATGAGTCATGATGCTTTGAACTAATATGCTAAATTGTAGGCATGTAAACGAACCAAACGAACATGAACGGGGTATGTCCATGTTCGTTCATTTAACTTGAATCGAACAAATGAACGAACTCGAACATAAACGGACACAAAATTTCTTGTTCTTGTTCGTTCGTTAAGAAATGTAGTCTGTCTGTGTTCGTTCATGTTCGTTCATTTAAATGATAAACGAACACAAATGAACGAACATAAACGAACATATGTAAACGAACATAAATGAGCGTAAACGAACATAAATGAAAATATATTTCATTTTCTTTCCTAACAATTTTAGGATTATATTTTATTTAATTGTTTTGAATTTTTTTATTTGTATTTAAAACTAATTGAATTTTAAAATATTTATAAATATCATATTAAAATTTATTGGGATTTAATATTTTAAATAGATCTAGAGAGATTGGGCTAAACATAAATGAACACACATAAACGAACATATTATCGAACGTTCGGTTCGTTTACGGGCCTCCTAAATTGTCACCTCAAAGCAGAAAATGAAATTGCTAAAATATAGAATTGGAAGTCAAAATTCATTTCATTCTCTTAAATTAAATAGCCGAAATGGAGTAGAAGAAACTAGAAAGGGCGTGATTCATCCTTCATATATATATGTAAAACCATCTTTCAACTGTAATCGGAAAGAGATCAGTATGGTTTAAACAACTCACGTATTATTTGAATATTGTGTAAAGTATATTTAATCTTGATAAACAACCCACTAATCAGCTACTTGATTAGCACCATGTCCAAATTGCCTTAGCTAAATTGTGGGGTTCTCAAACTCGTTAGGCCCATCCAAAGAAACAGAGTCATAAGCTGGCTTGGTATAAACACTATCATGGGCCTAGCCCTATGTTAATGCAATTTGAGGTAGCGAAGGTTTATAAAAATAGCCCAGGCTGAATTAAGAATTTTTGTGGGATCAAAATATATTTTTATCATCATATCAATTTAAAGTTTTAAAACGTTAAAACTCTATAAATTAATAATGTCAGGACCGGAGAAATTTATTAATTTAGAGAGTTATTAATTTATCGATAAATTAATAATTATTAATTTAAAGAGTTTTTAAGTAATTATACTGTACATACCAAACAAAAAGGCAAATTAGCCTATGCCTCTTAGAATTACGTTGCAAGAGATGAGTTAAATTAATAATGAGCTCCAAATAGACTTGAACTTTAAAGGAAAACAGACAACTATTGAATCATATTTAATAGATTGTAATATTTTTTTTTCAGTTTCTATGACTTATTAATTTATGATTTTCTTGGGACCGAAAATTATAAAGGGATTTCACGAAAAATTATTATCTTATTATTTTATCGAGTTTTTTCAATTTTTTACATTGGCCCAAGTCGGGACCGGACAAATTTATTATTTTAGAGAGTTTATTAATTTACCGAGTATTAATTTAAAGAGTTTCTACTGTAATAGTATAAGAAAACAAAAAATTAATAAATATTAAATAAAATTATAAATTACATTGTTTTCTTAAGAAAAAAATTAGATACACCATTATTGAAAAAATAATTAAAATTCTCAAACATTGATATTAAATGGACATATAAATATTAAATAAAATTATAAATTACATTGTTAATTAAGGATAATGTTCTCAAATAATTTCGATTTTTTAAACTATTTTTAGTTCTGTATTATAATTAATATTATATATGAATGCTCTTATTTGTATTTTTACATAATCATTAAATAAAATACATTTTTAAAAATTAGATGCATGTTTAATAAGATTTTACAAAATATTTTTTACGCAATTTAAAAACAAAATACGATGTAATAAATTTTTTCCATGGAGGTTTATTATATAATTGTCTCTAGGGTTGTTGGTTCGGTTAAAATCGAACCGAACCGAATTAACCATAATCGAATTAACCGAATTTTTTTTTCTTTAACCGTTAATCGAACCGAATTTTTTCCTGAAAATATTAACCGAACCGAATAAATTTTGGTTAATTCGATTAATTTTCGAATTAACCGGATTTTTAAAAAAAAAATTAATTTATATAAAAATTAAATGTTTTTTAATTCAAAAAAAGTTTATAATTAATTTAAATAATATATAATTATAAAATAAAATTTTCAGTTAAATTTTTTAATTAATTAATATTGATTTAGGTTTAAATGTTATTATATTTTAAATTATTAATTGAGTTTTAAATGGTTTGGGCTTAGCCCATATGTTATATATAATATATTTAATATTTTTTAATTAAAAAAACAGTTTACAATTAATTTAAATAATATATAATTATAAAATAAAAATTTTATATAATTTTTTAATTAATTAATATTGATTTAGGTTTAAAAGTTATTGGATCTTAAATTATTAATTGGGTTTTAAATGGTTTGGGCTGAGCCCATATGTTATATATAATATATTTAATATTTAAAATTTAATTTCGGTTAATTAACCGAATTCGAAGCGAATTAACCGTTAATCGAATTCTAAAAATTTTCTTAACCGTTAACCGACCGAACTAATTTGGTAATCGAATCGAATTAACTGAATTAATTTGGTTCGGTCGATTAACCGAATTAGTTCGATTATTTGAACACCCCTAATTGTCTCCATCACTATTTCTTGGGGGTGGTTCAAATTTCGTCTTTTGAAATTTCGAAAGGGCAAATGTCTCTCTCTATTAACTTATATTATTTTGATTTCATTTTTTTTAAAGTATTAATGTTTGATAGATTTGTAGTAAATAAGTGAAGTCAATAAAAGAGTTGAAAATCAATAGATAAAACTATTTTTATGATAAGCAAAGCCACGTTTCCAGTGTACTTTATTTTGTTGGAACCGCTTCCAGTGTACAAGAAACGCCAGTATAGTATAATATAGTTGGAAAACTTAAATGTTCAAGTACGAAACATTGGGCAAACACCATGCTTACGTACAAACTATAGCCATAGAATTTGCTAACTCGTACAGCTCTTTTCCTTACAATATTATATAAAAATATCCCGAAAAAAGCAAAAGCAATAAAGGGGATCGCAAATTCAAAAGTTTTATGACGTCGAAAATAAAATAAACTTGTAAAGAACATTTATATCTTTTTATAACGACAGTAAAAATAACTTAATTCAATACCAAGATAAATTGAGTATCTTAGTGATAAAAATGAGTGTTTGTTTCTTTTAAAGGTTTTGAATTTGATAATTGCGTCTGTAGAGAAAGTTTACGTTATTAATGATTAAGAAAAAACATGTATAAATATTACCTTGTAATTACGTTAGAAGTTAGTCTATTAAAACGAACTCAATTCAATATGAAATGAATCATCTTTTATTTTTTTATTTGATTAAAATTATGCACAAAAATATTGTTAATTATTAGAATTACTCAAATAATTCAAATTGTATATTTTAAATTAAGTATAAATTAAAAGATTTTAATGATTAAAGAATTATTGTTATTCTATAAAGTCCCATGTTCGAAAATCACACATATAATAAATAAGGATTTAATATCAAATTGTATCTCAAAGATCTCAATCTTATGATTACTTTAAAAACCTTATTGTTGAATCTAATAGTGTACTCACCTACTTAAATAAAATTTGCAAGGCACACAAATGATTCAATGATTTCAATCCGTGAAACCTTATTGTTGAATTTAATAGCGTACTCACCTACTTGAATAAAATTTGCAAGGCACACAAATGATTCAATGATTTCAATCCGTGAAACCTTATTGTTGAATCTAATAGTGTACTCACCTACTTAAATAAAATTTGCAAGGCACACAAATAATTCAATGATTTCAATCCGTGAATTGTTTGTAGCATGTTCATTTTTTTTTTTGCACTCTTTGCGGTTGCGACCCCATCCTCTACCGTACCATGTGCGGGACACTTAGGACTAGATTTGTAAATGAGACGAGACAGATCGCGAGCTACTCGATATCGACTTGGTCAAAGCTTGATCCACACTCGAATCGAATGAACTCGACTCGAGCTCGAACTCGACTCGAATCCTTAACGAGTTAAAACGAGCTACTTAATGCTCGACTCGAAAAACTCGCGAATTACTCTAAAAAAATGTTATATTATAATTTTAGATTTTTTAAAATTATATTATTAAAAATAAATTATTGATAATTATAATTTTTTTTAAAAAAATTAAATGTAATAAAAGATTTTTGTAGGTTCAAATTCGAGTTTGAGTTCGAGCTTGAATTGACCTCAAAATTGAGCTCTTGAATTTTTTTTGAGTTTGAGTCTTTTCAAGTTCGAGTCGAGTTTCAATATTATATTTCAAGTTCGAGCGAAGCTTGATAATTTTTAACTCGCGAGTTTTCGAGTTGAATCGAGCCTAATTTTAAACTTTTCGAGTGCGAGTGAAGCTCAACAATACTACTTTCTTTTATTTCTTCATAACTACAAGTATTGATCCATCATTTAATTAATTTCAATTAAATATTATATTTATTTTCATTCATAATATTAAAATCATAAACCCTACCTCTTTTATTTAAATACATGTGTCCCTCAATATCCCAAACGCAAACCATACACCCTCATTCCTTCTTCTTTTCACACGTAAGACAGTAGAAGCAAGAGCACCGTCATCTGCAACACCTCCTCCGCCGCCGCATCAAGGTCAAGATTGTAATGTGAAGATGGAGAGTCAAGATCTTTCCCCACCACAACACATGGATGCATCTAGACCATCCCTTGGCTTCCCTCTCGGCACCGCTCTCCTCCTACTCATCATATTCAGCTTGAGCGGCATCTTCTCCTGCTGCTACCACTGGGACAAGCTCAAATTCCTCCGTGGATCTTTCGACGCCGCCGCCGCCGAAGCTGCTGATATTGAAGCATCCCCCTCCAAACCCAAGCCTAACGACACAGTAAAAAAAAAATCTCTCAAAACAACATTACAACTAAAAGCAACCTTGTCAGAAAATGGATTTTAACATAGTTTTTGTTGTAATTCAGGATGTAAAGAAGAACCAGGGCCAAAGCTTTCCGGTTCTAATGCCTGGAGACGATATTCCAAAGTTCATAGCATTGCCTTGTCCCTGTGAACCTCCTCGAGAAGCTAAGGTTGTAAAAGAAGTACAACAGACACCAAAGTCTCCTCGTTTTCCAGTTCCTTTGTATTAGCAGATTTATCAATTTTTGTTGTAAATATTTGATTCCCCAGTGTATAACATTAGGTAAATCTGTAAATATTGGAGTAGTAAATTTATTATGCCATTTTTTGCATTGTTTCTATCGAAATTGAGATTGGTGTTTAAATTCCCTCTTGTGGGTGAGGAATCAGTACATGCCATTGTCCAAAAATTAAGCAAATCTGTGGGTGTCTTTTTGGACAAATTAAGCGAAGTAAAGTTGGCAATTGGCATGTTTTAAGTGCATCAAAATATTTTAAATTTGGTTGATAATAATACCTAATTTTCTGTACTGACAAATTTAGTGTTTAAATAACATAGATGAACTTTCCTCTCATATTCTGCTTTTTTAACTCTCTTTTATTTATCAATATTAAAATTCTTCTTTCAAATTAGAATAGTGCAAAGATAGAGAAAAATAATAAAACTATTATATATCATGATAGAAATTATAGATCAAAGGTTTGAATTAAGTTTTGTTGGTTTAAAAAAAATGAAAAGAAAAAACAAATGAAGAAAAGTAGCATATTGTTGAAGAATCGAAGAATCGAGTAAAGAAAACGAAAGAACACAAGAATTTTAACGAGTTTCGGCAATGTGATTACGTCCTTGGTGCCTAGACAGCGCTATAAGTTTTATCGAATGTCACATAGGTTTAAGTTACATCTATATTTATAATAAAAAAGTTACATCTCTATTTATAATAAAAAAACATGATACATAATTACATAATTAACCATGTACCGTACCGTGGGGCCTATGCCCCCGCACCCCCAACCCACATATTTTTAACCCCCTCTATGAGACTTTCTTTGCAATGACAGTTGATGTTCGCTTCCCTCACTCCATCCACTGTCCTCTTTACCGGTATGATGAGTCATACCTAACACATATGTTAATATCAAAAATATTCACGGGAGATGATCGAACAACGATGGAGAAAAATTTTAAACACATCATTTTGGTGCTCGCATTACAGATTTATATGAGTGGCCTAAATAAACATAATTTAAAATCTTAGTGATTAAAGTCTCTTTTTAAATAATTGAGTGGTCAAAACAAAAACTCAACTAAAAATGGATGATTAAACACCCTAATTTCCCTTGATTTATTTGATAAACTTGGATATGAAATGTGGGAGATTCAAATTCGAATCTCCATTTCATGTCATCGTTATATATATATATATATATATATATATATATATATATATATATATATCAACTTCGGATGCCACAAATCAAGGCGTTGCCTTTTTTTTCTTCCCATATGACCTAATTTCACTATTTGGAGCATTAAGTATCGGACACGACTTTCATACCATTTATATTCGAGTCTCTTTTCTTAGTTCTTTCTGGATGATTTATGATAGGTCATATATGGATATCCATGTCAAGATATTACGATCATAAATGTAAATATATAATATTTTTAAATTTAGAATGTATAATTAAACAACATTTTACAAAAAATATACGAGTATTTAAAGATTTGTTGATTTATTTGAAATAAATTTATAAAAAAATATTTGTAATTAAAAATCATGAATTCTATTATAAAGTATATATATGTATTTTATAATAAAATTCGGGTCGAGTTATAAAATAAAATTTGAATAACCCAAAATTTTTAATAATTAAATGATTGATTTACAAATTCTAGTATAGTCTCTCGATTCTACGTAATATATGTATAATACATATGACAAAAGATATATGTATATCGTAAATGTTTATACAAAACTATTTTAAATTATAATGAATTAATATCATATATATTTATAATTAAATTTAAAAATAAAATCAAATAATTTAACTAAAACACTTCAAAATAAAAATTATAAAATATAACTTGTAAACTTCACTCTTTTGAACACTTTAACCCTACCAACCACCTACGAAATACTAAAAGAAGTGATTATGAATAGTAGATTGGACGCCGGATGCTCAAAAAATAGTTTGATATGGGCCACCATGTTCCCTAACAATGATAATGTTTCCAAAGAAATTTGATGGAAAATTTGGATTTTTGTAAACGTACCGATGACAAGCATTCCACTATGTGGGGCCCTTTTATTCACTAAAATCACATGGGGTACACCATATAGCTTTGCATGGACCCTTCTTAGTGTTAGTGTGTGTGTGTGTGTGTTTCACACATATATATTGGATTTTCTGTTTTTCTTTTAAGGTTTTATTTTCCTTTTATAAGATTTTTAATCTTCTTCTAGTTTAATCGGTTGAATCAATTAATGTAGTTTAATAAACACACAAAATAAATCGTTTATGGACAGGGATGAATGGACAAAAACCTCAAATCGAAGGTTAGGTTACTGGCTGCGAATCTTGAAGGCTGATGCTTCTTTCGTGGGCCACTAAAACCATAATTGCGCAAGCAATCAATGAACCAAAGCCAACTTGCATTAAAAGAAGCTGTTGTAGTGGAAGTCCTATAAGAACGTTAGGTATGTGTGTATTTTCATTGAATTTAAAAACAATCTATTAATTAAAGTTTCTTTTTCTTTCTTTCTTTCTTTTAATATTTCATTAATCAATGCAATTAGACACCGATTAACTTTTCTAATCCATGTCGTTAAACCAAATCTAAACATCGTCTCCTCTTTCCGTACGTCTCTTCCTTCAATTTCCATGGCGGAATAGACAAAACAAAGTTATCGGTTCACCTAAACTTTCACTCCAAATCCATTCAGATGGAAATCTTTTTCATGGTATGCCAAAAATAGGGATGATGTTCGATTTGAATATAATAAGTTATAATCTGTTTTGATTTTGTGGCGTTAGGTTTTTATTTTTGAAATTTCAAGTTCATGTTCAATTCAGTTTTTTTATGAATAAAGTCATATGAATTTCGAGTTGATGGTAAAAGATCTCTGACTCAATCAAAGATAATAATATAATTATTTATAATATATTTAGAGATAATGATAAAAATATCTCGTTCTTTCTCTATTTTTTTCAATTATATTTCTATTTTAACAAATAAAAATAATATATATATATATATCAAGTCAGAACGAGTGCGAGTGCCAATTTTTACCTAAAAATTATGTCAAATTTAAAATTGGATGAAATATTCTTAAATTTAGATTAAGGGGTTGTTTGTTTACTTCGGAATGATTAAGCGTTGAATGATTCAAATACTGAATGATTTAGAGGCTCTGTATGAATTAGTTCTGAATGTAACATGCTGTTTGATAATGGCTCTGAATCATTCAGAATGTACTACTGTGTTGAATCATTCAGCACTGTTTTGTTGAATCAGTCAGCACTGAATCATTCAGAGGTGAGAAACAAACAGTCTGAATGTTGAACGGTTCAACATTCAACGTTGAATGATTCCATTCAGAGCCAAACAAACATCCCCTAACTCAAATGACAGACAGAGTGATATAATACTTGAATAGACCAAAATCTTTACCTAACATGATCCAAGTCATCCCTAATTAAAGGGATAAAATTAATCTATATTTTTTTGTTCAAATGTTTTTGTGCCTAATAAAACTATTTAAAGTAATTTTTTAGAAAGATATCACTAAATTTATTCGAAATAAGAAATATCCTCAATTACAATAAACATTTACAATCATAATCGTAAATTAGGCACATAATTAAGATTTTTCATATAATCATTGAAACAAAACTAGCAACTTAAAGATCACATAAGGATTATACAAGGAAAAATTAAAAATCTAACCAAGAAAACTCGAACAAAGATATATACAAACAGATCTGATCGTACAGGCAAACGAACCACAAAAGGGAATCAAGCTATTAAAAGATCATCGACAAACCGCAAATCATAATCGAGCGACGTGGGAAACTATCCATGAACGCATAACGGGTATCCAAATCCAATCCGAAGGTCTAAAGCGGGAAGATCAACAATATAGCATATAAATGCCATATTGATAAGTCATGACGATGTCTAATCAATATTTAGAGAAAGATAAATGAAAACAACTGTCAAACGATCGAAAAACGTATCAAAAAACAGAAGAAAATGTGTTATAAAAATATAGGAAAACATGTCATACATGTCGGTTTATTAGAAAATAAAAAACAAAAGAATATAAAAGGATAATAAAAAATACTGACGATCTACAATCAATATTAAAATTAGTGTCGCTATCGATCAATAAAGATAAAAAGAAAAAAATAGACGGTTTACCAATAAGACAAAATTAAACATGCTTATTAATTTGTGAATAGTTAACAAATTAATGAAAATAAAGTAATTGAATTTATTCATACTAAACAGTGGATTAAATCATTATGGACCAAGTGAATTAGTGGGCTGCATAGTTCGGCCGAAATATTTTAGTATATCATGGATTCCTAATTTACTTTAGCTCTTTCTAGTCCTTCTTTGTCTTATCTTGATAATTAGATTCTAACAATGCTTAAAAAGTAAATTAAATCAGCTTATTGCACTTATTATTGTATTTGTCCCTTCATTCTTTTATAAATATTTAAACAAAATAAATATAAATTGTTATCTTGAATTTTTTTATATAACATTTACCATTTTATTTATAATTATTTATTGATTTAATCTTTTCCAAATTTTAATTTTTACATTAAGTATTTTTTATTTAAAAAAATAATTAGAGTAAATTAACATTTAACCAATATACTAGATATTGATCTTATATCGGTAATTTTTATAGATTATGTTGATGTTACAGTCTAGTGTTTTAAAATAATTGTTGGCTTAGATAAAGTAACATATATATATATAGTGACCTAAAAGTGCAGGCACATAAAGTTAGGATGAGCATGGGACCTGAATTCGATGGGTTTCAATTTGATCTAATTGGATCGAGTTTTTTTTTAAATTTGGGTTAGGTCGAGTCAATTTTTTTTTAAAGTGATGTTCGGGTCGGGTCGGATTGGTGTTTAGGGTGAAAAATACTCGACTCGAAAAAAATATAATTTTACCTTATATATTTAGGAATAATTACAATAATACAATTCTATATATTATTTTGTTCAATTAAATAATTTTTTTTATTAAATAAAAATAATATTTTTTTATTATTTCAGATCGGGTTCGGATTTTATCTCAAAAAATCGGATCGGGTTCGGGTTAGGTGAAGGGTATATATTTTTCAATTTGGGTCAGGTCGGATCGGGTGAAGGATGTAAAATTTTTAGATCATGTCGGGTTGGCCTAAACCCGACCCATGCCCATACCTACCTAAAGTTAACTTAAAGTATAGTTTGAGAACTTATTTGTATATTAAGCAAAAATATAAATATGACACTTGTCACTTAACGATTTTTTTAACGCCATCATTGTATAGACACCTAAAAGTATAACGGTAAAAACGTTAAACATTTATTTTTAACAAAAAATTCTTTAGACATCCAATATTAATTTAAATACTTATTTTTATATTAATCCATAATAAAATAACTTATAATGACGTTTTCATAATAACCTTGAGTTGGTAGAGCACAATGTTCTTAATCTTAAGGTCGTGTGATCGAGTCCCACGGAGGGCATTTCATAATTCGAAGGTCTTCTACGGAAGCTGCTCTCAACCTGATGTTGGGGGCAGCCTACTATCTTACCTCCCCTTACCCCATTACATATGTGAACGAGAGACAACCATTTTTGAAGTTTTCATGGCTAGCATCCAAATCTTTTGGCAAATAAGGTCCGTAAAGTTAGAAGCTATATAAATAACGTTTGTATCAGATATATAACCATGGACGAAGCTATGCTTCGGCTCAGGGCCATTGCCCTTATTTTTTATTATTAAAAAAATCTATCAATTAATTTTAAATGAGTGCTCTTAAATTTAATTTAGTTTGATTTTGTCCACTTATTTTCTATGTTAATTATATTTTACCTCCTTATTGTTTATGGTTAATTATATTTGGTATAATTAAGTTAAAATCCTGATTTCGTCCCTGTATATGTGTTCATGGCTAGCAATCAAGCCTTCTGACAAATGAAGAGGAATCGAGTTAAAATATGATTCGTATTGGATATATTGCAATCAAGCCTCTAGGCAGATGAAGAGATATTCGAGTTGAAAAGCTACTGTTCCAATGAAGAATTTAACCTGCAATGATGTTTTCAGTTGCGTTACATTTATCGCGATTGCTGCAATAACGGGATCCATTACGGTCGTTACAGGTATTGCGATCATAAAATAATGGTTTTAGATGACATCTTTACTGCTATATAATGATCACTATTATGACAGTGGACAATTATTTAAAACCTTGATTGCAATATACTGCTGAAGCTTCATAGCCATAGGTGCCCATGACATGGATTGAGACATGGCTTTTATCACCCATTTTCGGCCAAGATCCAAATCAGAGAGTTCTGAATTATATCTGTCATTTCACCTTGGAAAAAAAATATAGCAGACAAGCGCATGAACGAAAAGCACAAATGGAGATTTTCTATTATTAAGTTTGCATCAGCGAATGGAGCAAAGACATTTGAACTCTCGATACATCACTTTCAGCGGTCGGAGTGTAGAAATGCTAGGCTCTTGGCAGCATCAAAATCGACCTTCATCAGAAGTTTTCAGGAGAGTGGTTGAAAAATAATAATTCCATGTTTCATTTTAACAATTTATTCAATGAAAAATTGAAACAAATGAACTGATTGCATAAATGAATGAAGTTGAAATACTTCTGAAAAGAAATTGGTCAAGGTCTAAGAGCTCTAGTGTAGAGCAGTATCCCACATTCCTAAGCAATAGAAAAGATAACAATAATACTTTAATCACAATATTAATAACAATAATACTTTAATCACAATAATAATAGGACTTTCCGTACCAAGTGTTAAATTATATATATTTTTCCAGATTCTTTTTAATTTTTTTTGTTTTTGAATTGTCTGATGAATATAATATTTATTTAAAAGATTTTTAATTATTTGATAATCGATATTTATGCATCTGACTATCTTACGTCCTTACCTGGAGTTACTAGTATTAAATTATGTGACTCTATTAGAAAGAAATGCATTAAAGACCTCCCTTTTATGTTAAAATTTCAGTACATAAAGGCTAAAGATTTCATTGACAATGGTTAAAATATTTATAATGAAGGAGATAGTTGTGTAAACAGTGTTTTATTAAATATTTTGCTTCCTCCTCCGATAAAACTTATAGTGATTTTATCATAATTAATGCCACGAACAATGTCATCTCTCCCAGAATTATTTTCCCTCAGACTATGATTTTTCTTGAAGATGAAGTGACCTTTAATCATTCTCTCTCTCGGGTGGACTCAGTTGAAGATGAACGGGTACATTTGAACCCTCTCCACACCCAAAACCATATGAATTCAGGCCATTTTAATTTCCATAAACCTGAGGCATAAACTCTAATTGATTAACTCGCTGGACTTAGTTTTAGAAGATTGTATCGATCAATACTAATGGATACCTTATTGTACAATTCCCTGTTTTCTTTGAGAATAAGATTCACCTTCCTGCAGAGTTCCAAATTCTCTTGATGAATGAGGTTTCCCTGAGAAAAAAAGAAGAAGTTGAAAGCATAATGTAATTATGTAAGTAAACAATTGAACTGATTCAATCTTGAATAAAAATGTAAATAAAAACTCAGCTAGGGTTGTTTTTGAATGACCCTTCGGCTTAGTTCTTGAATTTCATCAGTTAATATCCGTTCCTGCAAAAGTTTTATAATAAGCACATGTCAAGTTTACTGCCATAAGATTTATGCATGAAAATTGCTAAAAAACTGTTTTTTTTTTTGTTACCTTCTTCATGCGAACACCCTTCAAACTCATCTCCAGTTTGTTCTCTAGATTCTGTAGCTCTTCAACTCTCAAACCATAAAGCTGTTCACCCCTGAGTTGCCTGGTTTATGTCAGATTTCGAGAGGTTGGTCAATCACAAAGTCTTTAATATATGATTCCACATCCCATATACATGTGTACATGCGAGTCAGCGTGTGCATATGGGCGTATATACATTTGATGTAAGTATGTATGTAAGATTGTTTAAGCATCTCCAGAAGAAAATATTACGAAAATTTGAACTCTGTGAACAATATACCGATGGTTTCCTTGCAAATCCTGCACTTGTTGTCTCAAGATTGCAGTCTTTCTTTGCCAAAACTGTCAAGTAAACATCAAATCTAAAGTTTATTTAGAACATAAAAACATGTCTTGGGTATTATAGTTTCTGAGATTTTTTTCATGTTGAATCTCTTGGAGCGCATTGCAACAAATGTATTATGTACTTAGCCTCTGCATCATTCCGACTCCTTATTTTCCCTAACGTAATTGGGTTCAATACAAGTATGAAGGTATGATCCTTCATATATATGACCAAACGTAAAGAAAATCGAATATACTCATGTTAAACATATATTTTATCTTAAAATGTATGCAATGAAAATTTCTCTCTCTATGTATATAGTAAAAAGTGGTAGAGAAGTTTACCTTATCTTCTAATGATGGATTCAAAAACTGTTGGTGTTCCTCTTTCAAGCTGTTGTATCTTTCAACAACTGATTTCATGCTGCTATTTACAAAATACACATAATAAAATAGAATCAGAAATATCTCATTTATGTAATAAACAAAAAGTACATATTAAAATGATGATAATGTTGAATCTAAATTTCAAGGTCCGAATCTAAATTTCTTCTTGAGAGTAATTTAAATTTGTGGTACTTGAATTTTTCAATTTTATTTTAACATGTGTCCTACTCAACTTCAAATTAATATTAATATGGAGATTGATTCTCTAAATGTCTTTTAAATATCAAGGTACCAGATACCAGTTATGGTTTTCGTGTGCACACCAAAATTGAAACCAAATCTTCCCAATATTAGTGCAGTCGTCATAGAAAAGTATTCTTTTTTCCCTTGATTATGATCATAAGAAAAAACTCACTAATTTTATATACTTAATATCTGACCAACTTATCCCATATTGTAATTAACCCTTTTCTTTTGACAATTTCATAATATATATCTATGCTTGAAATGAAGGTCCAGTTTCATAGGTGAAAAAACCCCCAGGAAATTAGGCCAAAAATAGAAATGAAGTAGAAAAAAGATCAAGAAAAGGGCATTGAACGTACAACTCAGGTTTGGTTTAATGTTTCTAAATTGAATCAAAACCTGGAGATTGCAAATTCATAGAGCTTTCCTGTGCTGGAGAATATGACAAGGCCAACTTCTGCATCACACAGTATCGCCAGCTCTTTGGTCTTCGTAATCAAACCCTTTTTTCTCTTTGAAAAAGTCACTTGCCTGCTCGTTGAATTATCGATCCTTCGGATCACAATCTTCCCTCTCCCCATCCTCCTCTTTTCTGTTGTTCATCAAAGAAAAATCATTAAAAACACAATCTTAGTAACATTGATTCTGGGGCTGGAAAATGATAGCTTACAGGGTTTAAGCCAATGAAGAGCTTTGGGAAATACTCATCAATGGAGTTTGGTTTCAACTGTTATCTGTTGAACGCTTTGGGCTTTGATGACCTTGCCAATACTTTAGGGCAACAATGTTGATTTCCTGTCTTTTTTTTTTTTGCTCGGCAAGATAAATATTATTAATTAAAACAAACTTACATTAAGAATCTCATTAAAAATCTCCCTAAACTTAGATGGAGGAAAAGAGTACTCTTAACGAGGTACAAAATACAAGGCTAAGAAATCACCAAAACAACAATGCGGGACAGAATTAATAGCAAAGAATATAATATTAGATTGGTCTACTGTCTTCTTTTTCTTTTAGTATTTTCATGGCGCCGTTGCTCCAATAAGTCACTGACAGATGGAAATATGAATTTAACGCATATCATATAGTTTTAAAAAATTATGTCTAAATAATCTATTAATTGACTTCAATGGTAACAATGAACATTTTTTTTTTGAAAATTTGAGTTCAATCAGTTATATATGTTTATAGGATATGTGCATTATAGATAACTAAAAGAATATATTCATGTTGTTAAAATTTTATTTATGTTTCTCCTTATAACCATGAAATTGGAGTTAATTTCCATACAAATCTTTGGAGTTTGGAGAGGTTAGTGTTGAAGTTTCCAAATATGGAAAAATTCAGAGAAACAACATTTCTTCCATCCAAATGCAGAAGGCCTTGTATATTTTTCTTGATTTTACCAAGCTTAATTTGTTGTAGTGTATTTCATTTATATTCAATGTCGGTCCAATAAATGCCAAAATTAATCAGAATATTCGCAACTTCGGCCTACCTTTTTAAGTGTACAAAGGGGTTGGGTCTTTTAGTTGTCTTCGTCTGAAGATATGCATGTAGATATTTCGATAAGAGCATTTCAATATTGTGAGAGTAAAATGTCTCGATTTTGTTTGAACGGATGTGTCCTAGTGAGGGTAGCTTATGTTATGCAAACAAGATGATCAATAGAGGGATAATGAGTCAACTCAACATAAAACCAGTGGAAGTATTTGATGGATCATAAGTCATCTCAGCATAGGATATCACTTGTCCTTCCTCCGGATTAAAAGAAAAACACTATAAAACAGTGTGATATGAGAATTGTTTATTCCAACTTTAGTACCTTTTGTTACATTTAATTCCGAGTTAGAATTTGAGTAATTGTTCATTTTATTCTAAGAGTATTTGTTCAAAGACACTTAATCATTTTAACATTGAACGCATGTACCTTTGCATAGATAACAATAATCTCTTAATCACTGAAATCACTCGGTAAAAAGCATTGTAATTTTACTTATATGGTGTTTTGATATTTTGTTCATTTCTATTTAAACGAATGATTAAATATAAAATCAAATAATTTATATATAAATCTTATATTATTATACTTATAATTATGTATTGAATAAATTTTTGTAAATATATATATAAATATAAAATACTGTGAGACTCAATAAAGAAATGCACACATAAATTATGATTAATTAAATAGAAAGTGAGGTTTAAGTGGGCGGTCATTCAATAAAGCTAACAGATAAGCATAATAATTAAGTGTCACTAAACACAAGTTGCCATTGGTTTAATGGGGACTTGTTGGACCAATAAGATTCCATGAAGCTTTGCCAGGAAAGCAAAATCTCAATCTTGAAAACTAGGGTTAGGGTTCATAGGTGAAGGAGTTCCCAAAATCCAAAGAAATTGATACACGAGCTTAGCCAGGTGTCAATCATCAACAAATGATGGATGATCATAAACAAAATGAACAATTTCCAATTAATTTATCATCCCATCACATGCGAATGTCACTTTTATGAGTCATCCCACCATTGCCAAGCTCTCGAGATTTTTGAACTTGGAGAGTTGAGACATAAATAAAATAAAATGGAGAGTATATGCACATGATCGTTGATCATAACCCTCGAATACTTCTGTCAAGAAAAAAAAGAACTCTCAGACACTTTCTCCATCCAAGAAAAAGGAACATTTTCTTTTAAAGGAGCATAGATCTGTTACATTCTTTTTATGTTCCCAAACCCAAATGATTAAAACTCGATCTAAAAATTCATCCCTTAAATTTGACTGAAAAAATAATTAAATTCATTTACCTTCTCTCAGCTAAGGGACAATATTGATACAGCTAAGGGAGTTCTAAGATTAAATTAAATACGCGCCAGATAGGGGTGGAGAACCTACAACCTTCTACCTGGGAACAGACGCTCTATCAACTGAGCTACGAGCGCCTGGTAAAACCATTCTAATAAATCTATATATCCAGTCATTATGAGCATTAATTAATCTCAAACTGATAAATCAAAATGCATCGAAACTATCCTCCCAGTCCAAGTTTCAGCTTCTTTATATAGTTTGGCTTGGTGCTTCCTTGTGTTTTGACTCACTCTCCTTGGGCAGTTATACGCAGAGACAATAATGGAGTTGTTGTGGTGATTTTCAACTCTATGAAGATTGTGTTGGTGAATGAGGCTTATTTGTAAGCTAAACTTAAGGTTGGAGCAATGTGATTATTATTTATTGCACCTTTTTGCTCACTTTGTGGATTTGATCAGGTGATTAAACAACTCTAGTTTGTTTTGGTGTTCAGAAAAGCAAATGTGTTAGTTGGTAGGAGCACCACTTGGGTTGGATGTATTCTGGAAGGAGATACGATCAAATATTGAAAAAGGATAATAACCTATTAAGTATTTAAGTTTAAAAATCAGGAAGAACATGTCTTATTCGACTAATATTTAAACTAATAAATACCTAAAATGCTATTTTATTACAAAAATATCACAATCCTCATGCTTAACTAATAGCATCGTCCATGAACATATTTCTCGATGAGATGCTTTACTTTTTTTTATGATGTTGGATTTTAATGAAATAAAAACATCCCTCCCTCAATTTGAATTTATTTAGTCAAATATTATCGACATTATAAAAATATATAAACAGAATGCAACTTCAGATATCAAAAATAGATATTTTAGAAATAGAAATGCGAAACTTGGTGATTTGATAAAGTTCAGGGGCCAAACCTGCCATTATCCCTTTACGAATGACCAACTGTTGCTCGCTTTCCCTTGTTTTCAACACGACGAGCGCCAAAACCAACGGTCAGGATTTCACAAGGAAGAAAAAAAAGGGCATATGCTTGTGTTTTACTTAAATAACCTACTTTTATTCTTTAAAAGAATCGGGTTGAATTAACTGTATAAATATAGGGAAAAATCCAAACGTATTGGATTGAATTTAGCTGTGTTTAGATGTTGTTAAATGGATAACCAATTTCCAAATTTAAACTAATTTTCTTTTAAAATCATTTTGCATCTAAAATTCTTTTGGTTAGAATCCAATCCTCCCTTTTGGCTGGAATCATTGGGAAATCCTCCTTCCTTTTCTCCCAAAACATGCAACTTTTAAAGTTGATTTCTTTTTGGGGACATGAATGCTTATTTTATCCATGAAACTTTTCAAATTCACATCTTGAATAGGAATTTGCATCGAAAATAATAATAAAATAATACCTTTTCTTTTTGGGTTTTTGACAAGTCTTGGATAATAATGGACGTGGAAATGGAAGGCATTCCAGGTAAGTTTTTTACTTTCTGGGTTTAATTTTTTTTGGGGGGGATAATGATGGGGAAATGATTACTTTCTGATTTTGGTTGATGCAGAGGAAGTTAAAGACGTAGAAGAAAAAAACCCAGAAATTGAATCAAATAAACAACCATCACCAAGAGGTGTGTTGGAGAATTCTGAACTGGAATCAGACTCCGACAGTAGCTCCTCCTCCACCACCACCACCACCATCAGCGACGGCGGTGAAAATGATATCCCAGATACCCAAAAACCTGTTTTTCAGAAATTGGCAGATTCTTATAGTTTTCAATGGAGGAGGATATTTGAATCAATTAAGAGGAAATCAGCCAACAGTTTCTCTGTGATTCCTTTACTGACAAAATCTACAAAACGTTATGAGGAAGAAGAAGAAGACCTGCTTGAAAGCACACGTGAGAAACCTTCATGGAGGAGCTTTTCTTACTCGGAGCTTGTTGATGCTACTGATAATTTCAATCCTGGTATGCAATTACATCCCTTTTTAAGATTTCGAACTCATTTTTAACTAGATTAACGAGCTTTGAGTATGCATATAACAATTTTTGTAGAGAATTTGCTCGGAATAGGAGGCCATGCAGAAGTATACAAAAGGCACTTACCCGATGGTCGAATCGTTGCGGTGAAGAAGATAGTAAGTATTGATAAAGAAGAAGAGGATCAAGCTGGTGATTTCTTGACAGAACTTGGGATTATTGCTCACATCAATCACCCGAATGCGGCTCACTTGATCGGTTTCGGCATCGATGGAGGCTTACATTTAGTCCTTGAGTTTTCCCCTTATGGCAACCTTACTGCCATGCTTTTTGGTACTAATCCCAATTTCCTCTGTTGCTTCAATTGGTCTGATTTAGTTTCAGTAAACATACTTTCATCTCCTATGTTAATCGGACTCGATTTTAATCGGAAACTGTTATTCGATGCAGGTAGTGTGTGTTTAGATTGGAAAACAAGGTTTAAGGTTGCTGTTGGTATAGCAGAGGGATTGAAATATCTCCATCACGACTGCCGTAAGCGGATTATACATCGAGATATCACGGCTTCGAACATATTGCTCACCGAAGATTATGAAGCTCAGGTACTTTGATTTCGTGCACCGAAAATGTTATCGATTTTATTGAACAAGAACAAGAGTCTGAATTCTTCTAATTTTGCAGATTTCAGATTTCGGTCTTGCAAAATGGCTTCCGGAACAATGGCATAACCATGTTGTTCATCACATTGAAGGAACATTCGGGTTAGAACTACGAGTTTTTCTCCTCATTTGGTTATTTTGTCATTAGCATCTATTCATTTTATATGAACTAATAACAATGTTGCCTGCAGTTATTTAGCTCCGGAGTACTTTATGCACGGGATCGTCGATGAAAAGACCGATGTTTTCGCATTCGGAGTTCTTTTGCTGGAGATAGTAACAGGTCGTCGTGCAGTCGATTCATCCCAAAAAAGTCTTGCGATATGGGTAACACAACTCCAAAACCATCCATTTAATAGACTGCAGAAACATATGAACTTAATACTTTTCTGCAATTTTTTACAGGCAAGACCGTATCTGGAATCGAATCAAGCGAAGGAATTGATCGATCCTCGACTCGAAGACAATTTTGATCCAACCGAAATGCACCGAGCAATGGTAGCAGCTTCAATGTGCATTAGTCACTTAGCCAACATGCGTCCAACCATGACAAAGGTATGAAAAACTACAAATCTGAAAAAGAATTCCATTTTTCCAGGAAAATTCAAGTCGGAATCCGCGGATTCTTTGGTGATTTTGCAGGTTGTACGGTTGCTTAAGAACGAAGATGAAGACGGTCCTGTAGAGCTTCACCAAATATCTTGTGGAAGGAAAGCGGTGATTGTAGACGGCTGTGACTTGAAAGATTACAATTGCAACAACTATATAAATGACTTAAATCGTCACATGCAGCTGGTTTTGGAATAATTAATACCAACGTAACTTTCGAGTGTTAGTGTCGGACGACGAACATGTATGTCCGACACTAATTTTAGATAAGAAAATTTGAGCAGAAAAAAATAAAAATTCGAAGTGTTGCGGAATCGGAACAAATAGAGTGGCCTTGCATGGCGTTTGTTGATGAATTCCTTGACGTGAGTTTTTCTTCAGCTTTTCAGCTTCCTATTATTTAATTGAATTGTAAATATATTATATATTTAGGTTCTGTTTCGATATCGCTATCTTATTATATAAAAAATATAATTACATATTCTTTGTAGTTATTTATGTCATGTTTGTAATCATATAATTATAAAATAATATAGATTGTTATAAAAAAAATAACCATAAATCCTAAAATAACTCTCTTGATATTTAATTATATGTTTAGCACAGAGGGCATTTCATAATTCGGATGTCTTCTACGGAAGCTGTTCTTAACCTGGTGTCGAGGGCAGCCTACTATCTTACCTCCCCCTTACCCCATTACATATGGGAACAAGGGACATCCATTTTTTTAAAGTATTCAGGGTTTTCTAATTTTATTTTAATCCAATCCCATCTCCATAAATTCTGAAATTTTCTCCTGCTTTATCAAACTCTGCCTATTATCTAGTTTTTGCAATGTTGTTCATCAATACATAGGTATTGTTTTACTTACCCAGCCCAACTCCCCCTCCCCCCATACTCCCATTTTTCCTCCACAACGATGAGGAGCTAAAAGATCAACCATTTTAATTCCACCTTTGAAAACAGATAACTTTGTATCTAATTGTATAAAGCGGACGTAGGTTTATAGATAAGGGATGTTTTGAGAATATCTACATGACCTACATTATCAATGGGCTCCCAAGTACGTTAAAAATTCGTTCGAGGATCGATCCGCCGACTAGAACACGTCGATGAGCACTCATAATAAATGTTCCATCGACTCAACGACGGTTCCACAAATACCACAATTTGCTTGAGTTGCTAAATGTCGACGAGCCCTTACTCTATATAAGTTGATATTAGACAAGTTAGTGTCAAAAAAAGGAAAGTTGATATTATGTTAAAAAAACTGTTGTTTTATTGAAAATTATGTATATATGAAGTTCACGTTAAAAAATAGGGTAAAATTACACCACATATCAATTGAATCATGGCATTTTAGAAAGCTGTAGAATGATGATTTTGGTTCGATAACTTCAAAATAATTAAAAAAATCAATGGGTAAATTTACTCTGCATGATGTATTTACTAAAAACATTATAAAACAATACATTTTAGTAATACATCTTGGTAATTTTTTAATTATGGATAAAATGTACCAATATACTGTAGAAGGATGATTTTGCTTCAATAACTTTTAAAATTTATAAAATAATTAAAAATTATCAAAATTATAGTGTTAGTTGCTCACTGACACTAATTTTTATTATTACATTTACATTTTTTCCTCAATATAAAAAACCAAAATAAAAATAAATAAAAAGAAGAAGGAAAACGTTGGGGCAAGCAGACAACAAACTTATAAAAAAGTTGGAGGTGCGGGGAATCGAACCCCGTGCCTCTCGCATGCGAAGCGAGCGCTCTACCATATGAGCTACACCCCCATTTGAAATAAATCTTATTAAAACTAATTAAATCTATTAAAATGGAAAAATTCTTCAAGTGAAAACGATGATCATTCCCTTTCGAGTGACATAGAAAGTTATTTTTATAGTTATTGTACGATGATACCCAAAAAACTTTTATTTTTTTTAGCAAATCTGTTTTCAGAATATGTCGAGACTTTATTGATCTAGGACGGGCTGATCGAAGTTGCAATCAACATATAACAGCTATAGCTTTGATATCCAATGCCCGAAGCTTACTTCAATTAGTTCAGTCACTCAACCATATCCAGCAAATCTCGAATTCAAGTTTCGACTTGGGATACCCCTCCACCTATCTCAAGTTGTGGCTTCCGTATTTGGATTTCTTCATATTCCTTATTGATGTTTTGACTACCAAGCAATCGAGTTGAAAACAAACAAATGATGAACTGATTATCAAATGGAAAATACATACAGGAACATCAGTCACAAAGGTCATTCTACTTTACGAATTTCGTGTTGCAAAAGAATCATCATGTATTTCTAGCCCACTCACTGATCCAAACCATCTTCAAGATAGTTATGCGCATATAGAGAAACTTACATTTTTCCCCCAACCGTAATGGAACTTCTAGTTGAAGCACGAGCTGCCTCCTGCCGAATATTACGTGCGCAAACTTCTTGAACAACAACAAAGTGAGGCACATTTTCCAGGCAGAGTGTAATCTGATTGCAAGAATGGATCGGTCGCAACATCTTCAGGACGTGACCAAATGTACACTCCTCGTTCTTGCCGGGTGCCTGGGACAGTGTTGTCGAGTACAAATGCTACCAAGAATGTAACCACCATGCTCATGGACATGAGTGAATTTACAGCAAAATCAAGCTGACACATACATCACGAAACAAGTGTGAAATAGAGGATAAGCGTGTATACATCTTTGTATCAGCAAGATTCAGAATCTTGAACTTACTTGTTCAATGGCGGTATGGACTGGTCCATCAGATGCAGCTGAATACGGAACAAAATAACTTGGCAGCATCAAACTCGACATGGTTTGGTACTGTTGGAAATAAGCAGGAATGGACAAACCGAGAAACAAAGACGCCCCGACTATCGTTATGTTCCTAAAACTTGCTGTTTGAGTGTATTGCAAGGTTGAGAGGCCTACGGCCACAACAAGGGCCCACATGAAGCACAAAATCGCAGCAGCCAAGGACAGTGGTATAGAAGCAAGAATTGCACCAACTTTTCCTGTCACATACAAGCCAAGTAGTCAACATAGTATTGACCTCATACATGTATGATAAACTAGATAAATTATCGAGCAGGCATATCAAATCATATCCCTGGAAGAACATTGTATCATCTATCCACCATGCATCGAGAAGCTTTTTCCAGCCAAAATTGATTTTGACTTTACCTACAAATGAGAAGAGGATCAAGAAAAGTGCTCCAAATACCACAGCTCTTCGGCTGGCCATCTTTGTTATATTAATTGTATGTGTATTTTCTGTCAAAGTTGTTGAGCCGGTACCTGAACCCCAAAGTCCAGCCAGCAGGCTACAGAAACCTTCCAAGGCAATGCCTCTGCTCACTACTCCAGGAGTTGGAGGCTTAGAACTGACTAGCAAAGAAGAAGAGTGATATGTTCCGACCTGCATGGTCATTGTATCACAAGCAGAAATGTTAGGGCCATTACCATTATCTTCCTGTTCAGTAATAGATATTAAGGGTTAAAACACATTCATCTTCGAAAAATCAGTTTTGCTGCTTCTTTTTTCTTGTTTTTACTTGTTCTACAGAATCTATATACGACTATTTAGCATTTCATAACTAGAACCATGCAAGAAAATTCTAGAGGGTAATTTTTTTCCAAAATCAAATATTTCCATCACACCATACATTTGATACCGATATTTTGGAACATTATAGACTACTGACCGAATCCACTGATGCAACAAGTGACACAATGATCATGATCAAAGACGTCCGGACATGGAAGATAGGGAGACCCCACTGTAAAGGGTACGGAATTCTGACCCAAGCAGCAGCTCTCCATGCATTCGAAACATCAGCTCTGCAATGCTTCATGGTATATGCATGTTTCTTACACTCATCAAGGAAAATGTTTGAACTTGGAATATCAGGGCTGCAATCTTTGTAATCATAAGCTCCTTCGGCTGTCAGAAAGAATGCATATATCCATGTAAGCACAACACTCAGAGGAACCTGCAGTGATTGAACAATGACACGATGATCAATTAACAATATCTCTACCAAAAACAAAGAATCTATCATTTACCTAGACAAACCAAAATCTAGAATTCAATAAAGAAGAGAGGTGACTTTTTAAAAAGAAATTTGAAATAAAGTTTTAGAAAGAAAAAACAAGATGGAAAGGTGAGAGTACGTACTGCATATATTCTGAAAAATCGATGCCCAAAAATGCATACTCCTCGAAGATACTAGAAAAAAAAAAGTAGACATCCTAAAAAGGTATAATAAAAATCGAAGTATTGACTGTATTTACGTGCTTGGTAGCTACAAAGTATTCAACTTTGCTCAAGAAATTACTCACAAGGGTACATATAAGAACCAACAATATCAATGGAACACTGACTTCTACACAACTACCAGCTTGAGGAAAACCGTAACTGAAGAATGTTAAACCCACAGCGGCAACAGTTGGTGCAACCACAACTGGGTTAATCAATCTACAAAACAAAAACACAGTCAACTCCATAGATGATTCCAACTTATATTAATATACTAAATATAGATGATTCCAACTTATATTAATATACTAAATATAGATGATTCCAACTTACATTAATATACTAAATGTAGTGCGTGCACGTGTTTCTCATGATAATGATCATTTTTAAGAACCAATATCTTGCCTGGTCTAATAAAATTGTAGAAACATTTGATGGTAAGAAGCTTATGAACGATTAAATTCCTTCTATTTTAGCACAAAATTGCACATTGAGCGTAAATGAAAATTTCAAGATAAGAATATAAAATTAAAAAAAATCTCAGAAATTATATCTATGAACAGTACTTCTGATAGAATTACCTCAGTAAAAGAGACATCAAACCACTGAATCCCAAGATACTTTGGAAGACCGAACCGACAATTATAGCTCCTTGCAACTCTCTCATTATGTGCCTGAATTTCTACAGTATTTAAAAAAGTGTTACTGGAAACTAGAATGGATGTTATTGTATGAAACACTAGTTTAAGTTTGTAAGCCATGAATTAAAGATGCACTCAATTCTTCTTACGAATTAAAATTGGAAGCAAACTTTTGATGAAAATAAGGAGATCGTATTCATTAAATTGATCAAACATTAGAGCATCAAAGCCATTTACAGCAAAGATAAAACTTTATAAATAAGAATGCAAAGGAAATAATAGAAGATTCAACACTCATTTTCTTTTGCATAACTTACATGTTCAGAGAGGTTTCTATAATCCCGAGCATTG